ACCAAAAAAAAATATTAAGCATTAAACTGGAGTGGTCAAAGAAGTCAATTGTGTGGTTGTTCTATTTTTAATAAAAAAAATGGTTTTTTAAAGGTTAATTTACTATTTAAAAGCTTTTTTTTTCTTAAAAAAATTATATAAAAACATATGTCTAGAATGATTATAAAGAAACTTCGAAAACATAAAAGCCAAAAAATCTAAAATTCTCAAAAGAATAAAAACAAAATCAACGAATACTTTTTTCAACATAATTATTTGTGTATTTGCTTTTGCGAGTTCATAAAACCAATTAATTTTAACATCGGTCATTTGATACAAAAATTAATAATTAAATTACTATAAATAGACGTTATTATTTAAACGCTGAAAGACTAATAATATGACCATAGTAACTTTAGTAGCAGATCTCGGTATCCCTAGTCCCGAGGGCCCCTAAAAAAAGAATTTATGTGACATTTTTTTTTCAAATGAACCGTGACGACGCCCGGCTTCTCTTATTAGATTAACAGGTCGATTTGCAATTCTGTGTGTTCATACACATGTTTATTTTACGGAAATGAATCGCATTCTGTACATTAGGGGGCATCGTGTTGACTCAGCGTATATTTGTAGAAATACCTTTGCAGGTCGTATGTAATTCATGCGTGGCGGTTTGAGGGTAAATTATTTATGTCATGATTATGAAATTGACTGCTTCATTGGTGTGTAGTTGTAATGGTAGCAGTCAAGAAAGTAATTCACTAATTAATTAGTTATAGGTACTGTTCACACAACGTAGGTATTACAATTTTAGCATTAGTAAAAAATCTTATAAAATAAAATAAATAAAATAAAAAAGCCTTATATTTCTTACTAGTTTACAAAGAATTGAAAAATAAAAAGATTGGTTTTACGTAATAAGATTTCCTTTGCTTTACGTCCTACTCAGTTAACGTTGCTTGTAGTAAGAACCCCTCGCGTTATACGAAGGTGAAGGCCTCCTCTAGTGCTTTCCATTTGTCTCTGTTCTTGGCAATATCTATCCAATGTTTGCCAGCCACTTGGATTATGTCGCGCGTATGGTCTACCTCTTTTTCTCGTGCCCCCTGGGCCTGGCCAAGATGTTAGGATATCTGTTTGCCTAGGTAGATGTATGTGTCAGCATATTCCAGTTGTTCACCTTCTAGATAGATTGGGCTCTTTATGTTGTTCGTCATTATGCTCGTTTTGTTTCGGTTTATTTCAAGGCCGGCTAGTCTGCTTGCTGAGTGCAGAGAGTTTATCATAAGTTGTAACTGTATTGCATCTTCTGACAGCAGGACTATGTCGTCTGCAAATCGTAAATGGCTGATGTACTAAAAAAATCTAAAATTCATACTAAACCTGACACAAGAGTCAAACCCGATACTTCTGATTTTTTATGGGATAAGCCGAAAACGAACAGATAGATCACTTGATGGTAAACAATCGGCGCCGCCCGTGTACACCTGAAACTAGAGGCGTTATAAGTGCGTTACGTACGTTACTCCGAATATGGAATTTGAGGATTGTTGGGGATTCAGGAATTAGGGAAATTGAGGAGTAAGCCCTGTTGGTGTCAAATAAATCCATGCATGGACTCATTATTTACAAACTTGCAATTCAAATTGATACCAAACGCCTCGCAGCAACAATATGGCATAAATAACTATTTGGATTCAATCAATAAAACATACATATACATAACATCACGCCTTTTATCCCCATCCCCAAAGGGGTAGGCAGAGGCGCACATTATGCCACTGTACAATATACCTAACACCCACTTTTCACTATTTTATATTATGACTTATGAGTCCCACGTAATAGGGGGTGAGCCTATTGCCATATGCGGGGCACAATTCCAGACTCCGTGCTACTACTGAGAACTTTTTAAAAACCCAGTAATACTTTGGCCGACCTGGGAATCGAACCCGAGACATACAGATAATAATAAATAATAAGATTCTAGGAAACCCAATACCAGACACGCCTTTTAAACATGCAAAACAAACAAACAAAAAATAGCAAATTTATAACAAAATATCAAAGAGAATGAATCATGGACGTCCATGATGTGATCACAGCGGGTCGTGGCACGTGGTCGTATGATTAGTTCGCAAATTCTTTGCATTAGAGAATATAAATAACACACGATTATCCACCTTAACCATGCCAGAATAAAACACATTATACTTTATCTATAACTTAAGAACTTCAACAGCGATAGTTAAAGCAAAATGGATTTTAAAATGCGAAGAGTAGGGGTGGATTTTAAATGCAGTGCAATTTGAAGGGTTATAATCCGCAGCTCACAATCGAATTAGTTGACCGCCCGTCGATTTTGCTACTTAACACAATAGATTTCTTGAAACTTGGTCGTGTGTTCATGCAATTACCCTAACAATAGTTTCTTGTTATTACTATTCTAGCCTTTAGACAATTCTTAAAAAAACATATGGAACACTGGCAGATGTATGGAAATAGATCCTTTATCACATAGGACTGACAGATCAAAATTCGGTTTAATACAAAAAATACTATTTTTTTATTAAACAACACATATATAAAATTAAAGTACAAAGGTACCACCTATTCCTATTGGAATTTCTTCCTGTGGACCTGGAGCAGGAAAAGTAATAATAAAATAGTGACACTATACTATGCTACAAGTACGCGTGTAAGAATGGAATCAATTGGCGCTCCACAGTCTCTGCCTACCCCCATAGCATACAAGCATGAAGTTATATATGTATAGACAAAGACAAGATTATTTATTTGCAAATACGCATACATCTGATTGTTATCAGTGACGTTAAGCATTTTAAATAATTATGTTAAAATGATTTCCATATCAGCATTGGCACTGTTCAATAGAATCTCAAGGTACCAGCGAATGTTTTATTGGCATATCTTTAAAATGTGTGTTAGCTATGTTATGTTAAATGTGTTACTAGGGTAACGCTCATCAGGCTACTGGTGTACTTATCTCAGGAAATAGTTTACAGTCCTTAGGCCCACTGTCCACGTCACCGTAACTACGTAACGTTTATAAGAGTGGGAGAGCCATGCTTCGGCACGAATGGGCCGGCTCGACCGGAGTGATACTACGGCCTTGCAAAAAACCGATGTCCGCTTGCGTTATGTTTCGTCGTGTGTCCCCAATTTCCCCAATTCCTGAATCTCCAACGATCCTTAAACTCCTAATCCCCAAAAGGCCGGTAACGCACTTGTAACGCCTCTGGTGTTCTGAGTGTCCATGAGTGACGCCCATTGCTTACCATCAGGTGATTCGTCTGCTCATTTACCGGCTTATACCATAAAAAAGTATCTACCTACCATATACCAAACTATGTACTCCAGGTGTGGAAGTTTTGTCGCATTGTTATAATTACTATCGTGACATTAAATTAACTAAAAATCGCGGATTACTCATAGTTAGAGAGATGACGACCAAAATTTTTGTCTCATAGCAATACGGCCAAAACCGCCTCAAATCGATAGATACGATTATCCTGAACTCGAAAATACCAATATCAGACATTTTCCGCGTAGCGTTTGATCTGACCACAAAAACACCAAACAAAACAATGTCTCATAGCAATACGTCTGAAAACCTTTTTTATTAGTAAATTTTGGTTATTTGATGCGAACAAAACAATTTTCAGACGGAAATGTGAACGCATTAAATATTGAGACTGTTTTGAAAATGTTAACAAATTTTACCGATCGGTATCATGGCAATACGTCTGAAAATTGTTGGACATGATAAAATAAGTTGTCCACATGTGCAAAAAATGTATATCAGACAAAATAAGTGTAGCACCTTCTCTATCAGACAACTTTTCGATACTCAGATATTTTTGACACAGCAGAAATGGCCTCCCACGCAGTTGCTACACTTTCGACCGTTACTACACACCTAGTCGGATTCAGAATTATACAATGTAACGATTTTATAGGGTTTTTGCCGTATTGCTATGAGACATGGTTTTGGTCGTCATCTCTCGTACTATCATGTATAGGCAGCGGCGTTTATAGAGGAGGCTTATGTATATGACATTCAGTTTTTTTAAATGAGGTGTAAATATAATCCTATTCTTTGTAAAATACACACATATATTTTATGACTATACAGCTTTACACAATGTTACTGTTACCTGTGCCTTTTAAAAAAAATAAGATGTTGTCTTTATTAGTCTAAGAACAAAATAATCTGGAAACAGAGATAAAACAACATTTTATACAGGTGTAAATGGAACGCTCCCGAGACGCTGACAAAAAAAATAGTTTTTACAATGTTAATGGTATTTGTTTTCGTATTATTCATACAACATCATTTTCCTTCTTAAATTACTTTTAATTCCATGCTTTTATGAAAATAAATTTCTCGATATGCTGTGTGACGTCCGTCAGCATATCGCGAAACTTAAGTGGGAGTGGGCTGGTTACGTTGCACGCAAACAGGGTTCGTGGTGCAAAGCCGTAATAGAGTGAAGACCGTTGGGCGAAAAACCACAAGGAAGACCCCAGATGCGTTGGTACGATGACATCAAACGAACAGTTGGCACGAAATGGATAGAAATGGACCGAAAGAGATGGCACAAACTGAATTAGGCTTACACCCTTTTTTTTTTTTTTTTTTTGACCCTGGGAAAATACTTTATGTATCATCCTCCCGTGGGGGGACGGGAGGGATATGTGGGACTCTCCGGGAGAAACCCGGCATACCCACTTAAAACCCAGGAGCACACCAGCGTCGCCATGTGAGGGGGTCTGGGAGATCGGATGAACCTTTACGACCAGGACCCCCTCGGCTAAGCCTGCCAGAGATGGCGGGCCATATCACGCCCCTCCCTGTCTCGGGGAGGGGTATCGGGAACGGTCGTGTGCCAACCGCTCCCGTCCCGCGAAAGAATAAGGCTTACACCCTAAGGGTAGAAAAAGACTAAAGAAGAAGAAGAATGAAAATAAAACTTTATTTTTACTATCACCTGTCGGCGTTTTTTGTGAGCATTCCGTTTACCATATTATGTTTAAAAAAGTAATGAATCAGTTTTTAGGTACAGGACTCGTTATGTACAGGTCAAATACAACCTTAGTTAGATTATATTTAAGTTTAAATAGGCCTTGTTCTCCCCATTTCTTACCCCAACTGTTGGCAACTAACCAATATTTCTCTCCATCTTCAACACCATAGCCAATCACTCGAACACCGATTTTACCATCAAACAGACCATATTTATGTTCATAAATACCTCTATGGTAATTATAAAAATCTTCGTAAACAGGAAAATTTGTTATAACTGGTCCGTTCGTTACTAAGTCAACCTTGATAGCACGCTTTCTGTTAAAATATGAATTATAAGTGTCACCGAAGTGTTTGTCTTTATCATAATCTGTATCATTATTTACACATTCATGCATACAGATATTTTCTTTGAGTTCGTGAATATTATAAGGCTTACATTTTTGGGTGACGAGACCATGTTGTGTCCAATAGGCAAAAAAGGAATATAAGTTTCCTTCGCCGTCACATATTCCTTTGTGAAAACATCCGAAATCTTGTTGAGAAAGTCGTACGTGAATATTCTTTTGAATGCATGTTCTGTCAGATATTGCGGACACTACGGCAAATGGAAAGCTGGCTTCACAATCTTCTTGGTCGTAGATATCTTTTATAGATTCACAGTGAGGCCAGTGCTGTCTAGCGTCAAAGGTTTCGGGGAGTTCTAAATCTTCAAATTCGGGAGTAATGCTTGGAATTCCTTTTATAGAATCAGTATAATTAAAATGTGCGTTGGGTGCATACCTTTCACGAATGTTTGTATCGTATTCAGTCATTTTCCAAGAGTAGTTCTGTTCATTGAAGTATTTAACGAAGGATGATCTTGGCATGCTGAGGTACTTTTCATGCAAATCTGGGTCAAAGTCGGCAACTGCTAATCTTGTAATCGTCACAAGCAGTAGTAGTCCGAACATGATTGTCACTTAGATTGTGGCATTCATGTTTTGCTCGTATATTTTATACTTTGTTTTATTTCAAATATGAACGCTATTTCCATGTTATGACTTGTAAAACAGACAGTTTACTAAAAATATTCATGAAAAATGTATTGTTAATTGCTGTATTGCTAAAGAATGCGAACATGGAGTTAATGGTTTATTGAGGATTCATCGTGTTTAAAAGTCATGTCCTTAAAAACTCCTTTAGTTCTGTCTCTAACTGAGATGTCAATGCTATTAACCAAGTTAAAACTACGCCTTGAAACTACGTTTAAAAAACCGATATCAACTTTCTTAATTATTTTTTTGAAGTCACGGATGACCTAACGGGTTGCCGGGGCTCTCGAAGTGCAGGAGTAGAACCAGGGTAGTTTTTAGTCAGTAAGTCTGACACTCACTCTCACCTCACCCGGGCGGGAAAAGTCAATGGATGGATTTCCCTACTCAAAAAAACCTCCTTTATTTTTATGAAGATGGGTTTGTTATATTTAATGGGTTGACGTTCGACTACTATCTCGCCTGGTGGTGAGTGATGATGCGGTCTACGATGGAGCACGTCGACCCATAAGCAACCTATTCACTCGGGCCTTGAAGACACTTCTTAGCAGTACGCACAAGGAAGCATGATGCGAAGCACTTCGTTCGTGTGGTTTGTCAAAATGAGAACCTCCTCCTTTTTTTGAAGTCAGATAAGAACGTGAGCACTCTTCACGTCTCGCATTTGCCCCAATGAAAGACCTACCAATATGCAACCAATGAAATATATTCACGTTTCGGAATGACTTATAAAATAACGTGTTAAACAGTTATAGCGCATAAAACTATATCCTAACTGAAGCATGTTATTGCCGCTAACGGTTTACGGTTAACTGCTGCGAAAATTTAACGGTTACACGTGAATGGTTCAGGATTCTGATATTACGACCTCTGCCGTTTATGTCTGCTGTAGTATCCTGTGTTAGTGGAGATATGAATAGTTAAATGTCTTGTTGATATGACTAAAGAACACATAGTTTTGGGTTTAGTTCACGGTTCGGACAAAATGGTGAATTAAATTAAGGTTGTGATAATTCCACTCTGCCTCGTTGGCTGAGTGGTCACAAGTGCGACTGCTGGGAAAAGGGTTTCGGGTTCGATTCCCAGGTCGGGCAAAGTATTACATGGTTTTAAAAAAATCTCAGTAGTAGCACAGTGTCTGTGAATGTAAATCTGTGAAAACAAAAACACACCACGCCAGTAAAAGAAAGACATCATTAGCCAAATGAAGTTTAATAACATTAGTATCAAAGTACGATTTCGTATATCATTCTGAAACTTTGTGAGCAAAGAAATGGTATCGAAGTCGCATATTAAGAAACTGGTCGAAGCAAGTTAGTAAAAGGCGACGAAATGCACATGAGTCATAAATCATACATTGCACATACACTCCGCGACTCCATCGCATCGGTTCGTTCAATGGTTACATATCAAGGTTGATATAACCACTTTATCATGGTCTCGCTTTCTATGATCTTCCCGCAAATTTGACGGTCAGTTTATACTGGTTTTTTTAGTTTGATGTGTAGCTGTGTGCACCTACGATTTTAGAGACAGGTTTTAACTTGTGAAGACATGGATGTTGTTGCTAAGGAAAATTTTGGAGGTGGTATTTTCAAATCGATGATTTCATTTGGAATTAACTTCAAATCGTGGATTACTCACGCGAATCTACTGAACAAAGCTCTGCTAGTTTCGAACCACAGATGGGTTCTTCTTAATGAGCAGCATGCGCGGTCGCGGCGATGTCGTCTACTCCTTATATAGTAGAGCTTATCTCAGTATGTCTCCAAATCCATTAATCCGCAGTATGTTGTTCGTACAGTGCTCGCAAGAGCGACTATAGCAATTAGTATTGTATTTGATTCTAGACTCAAACATGTAGTGTCAGATTTAATTACAAATGGCTTTACAGCATCTACAGTTAAATTTGGAAAATGATGAAAATAGGGACAAGCCCATTTCAGATGTTATTAAACTTTACTATAAATTATTCACTCGTAAATTTTATAGTCTTTACAAAATTTGTTCTTATAATTGTGCCTCCTCCAAGCATTTCTTAGCTTATTGAAATAAGGAAATGCAAAAGTCGGATACCGTACGTCGGGAACTTGCGACATTAATATACTTAGACTATCCAGTGCCACGGAACTTGGAACTCATAGGATTTAATATTGTTTATGACACATTTGTTTTACGCGCATATTTATATAAAACTTCCTGAAAGCATTATACGGAGTTCCCTTTTGAATTTAATGCAAATTTTCTTATTTTTACGTATTTTTCTTGGCACTATTTACGATTGTTGAAGTGAGTTTTTATTCTATAATAAACCGAGTGTTTTCACCTAAGAACATGAATGCAGAGTTTTTGAAAATGCTATCAATAAGTTGGTATATGTATGTGGACGAGACTAATGCAATTTAAAGAACACGTACTGAGAAAGTATAAGATCAAAGATTCTGGTAACTCTACAACATAATACCATTCTTCTGAAGGAGCAAGAAAAGATTTTTTATAGAAAATAGAAATTGACTGCAAGGCTGCCACGGTGGTTAGGCAACCGGCTGCCGCGCAAAGTGTCGCGGGTTCGATTTCCGCACGGAAAAACTATTTGTGTGATCCATAGATTGTGGTTCTGGGTTCGAGTGTTATGTACGACACAGGAGATAATGCTAGTGTAGTGCAAATTTAATAAAAATATCTGATATACCGCGATGTCCAACCCGTCTGCTAAGCGTGGATATTAAGGTTCTATTGTAAGTACCCACAGATTGTGGTTCCGGGTTTGAGTGTCATGTGGAACTTATATGTTTGTAAACGAACCCACGACACTGGAGAAAATCATAACGTGGGGCAACGTTTAAAAAAAAAACAAAAAAGAATTTTATATTTAAACGCCAACGCAGCAAACTTGCTTAATCAACTATCAATTATCTGCCTAGCCTCTATTCTAGTCTTGGAGAACCTAACGGGTTACTGGGGCTCCGGCTCGACGTACAGGAGAAGGAATGGGGTGGGTTTTAGTCAGTAAGAGTCTGACACTCCCTCCCGCCTCACTTAGCGGGAGCATCATTTGATGATTTTCCCCGCTTAAAAGACAAAAACAGCGCCGTTCTGCTACTTTACTGAAGGACAAACATAGCAACATTTAGGAAGCTAGTTGATGTAAAGAAAGTAAAGTATTATACTCAAATACGATAGCTTTCGTATCAAAATAAAAGTATTACATATTACAAATACCCTAAAGCCAAACCGTTAGACAGACGACACACAAATAAAAATGGCAGACGGACCAATTATAAATTTAGCCTTCGGTCACAAAGACAAACATTTGTTTTGAATCAGTTTTACGCATCGTTTCGTTGGGAAATTTGCTTTCAAAGGGGTACAATTTGTATATGGACTTAATATAAAAACGATAATCTAGAAAAATCAAGTAAAAAATTTTGATTAGGTATACTTGACTGTAGTTAAAAGTAAGATTGAGTATGTGATTGTGATTTTCACATGAGGTTGTCATGTTTTTAAGATATTTTAACATAACAAACACAACATCACGCCTTTTATCCTCGAAGGGGTAGGCAGACGTGCACATTATGCCACTGTACAATGTAACACCCACTTTTAACTATTTATGGTATGAGTCCCATGTAATAGGGGGTGAGCCTATTGCCATATACCGGGCACAACTCCAGACTCCATGCTATTACTGAGATTTTTTTTAAAACACATCAATACTTTGCCCGACCCGGGATTCAAACCCGAGACCTCTTGCCCGACAGTCGCACTTACGACCACTCGGCCAACGAGGTAGTAGTCAATATTTTAATTTATAAGAAAATATTCGTACTTTTACTAAAATTACTTTTACTGACCTTTCCTTGACTTTGAAGAGATTATAATCGATCATTCAAAAAATGAACCAGGAGCTCATTTGTCTAAATATAGGTACTCTAACCAGAAACAGTTCCACAGTAACCTAAACGGCCCCTGAAAAATGTTAAATATGATATTACAAGAGAACAACATTATACTTTTTTATTATTTTTCTTATTCTCCGCACAATTACACACGTCGATCAGATAGAAACAAATGAATCATTCCGTCCCAATTCGATTTGTGTACATCTTTCTTCTGGTAATGTTTTATTCAGTCTTCGACGGTAAATAAGTTTCGTTTCGGACAAAACATTCCCATGTGACATAGATACAAAAATTTCACCAACATAAATAAACACTCACTACGTAACATTTCAGTCTTATGTTCTTAGAAATAAGGGTGATTAGGGTTGCAAAGTTATTATGGTCCGGCCATTCTTTGCGGGGGAAATGGGCTATCCGTCAAAGTCGGTTTTATTTATCGTTTTAGTTGAATTTTATCGAACTAATAGCCCCTGAGATAAATTTACGATTGGCAACGGAATTGTACGGTGAAAAGGGTTCGAGATGCCTTTACTGTGTGTTTGCGAGCACTTACACAATATCTTACATTCTCGTTTATCTTATTGGTTTACTTTAAGATATTGCCCGCGGCGTTGCTTGCATTCAAATATATTTGGTTTATTTGTCATACCTACATTTTTATTTTTAAAATAACTATCGTGAGACATACTACATTAACTAAAAATCGCGGGTTACTCACGTGAATATACTCAGAAAAGCTCTACTAGTTTACTAGCGTGCGCGATCGCGGCTATGTCGCTCAGCCTACTGTAGGCAGCCTACTGCTCATGAGAAAGAACCCCTCTGTGGTTCGAAACTAGTAGAGCTTTTCTCAGTATATTCACGTGAGTAACCCGCGATTTTTGGTTCATTTTTATTTTCGTGAAAATTTGGCCTGTAACTGTGCATAGAGTGTTATCTTTATTCGTAATTCATTTAGTCTGTACTTATTCATGAATACAAGAGATTGTAAGGATGTTTTGTTGGACAATCGTT